GACTACAATTGATGCGTTTGAGCCAAGCATTGAAGGAAAAACGGCCGCTATATGAGCAGAGACACGACAAAGTGATTTTGCAACATGACAATGCTCGGCCACATGTTGCACAACCGGTTAAAACGTACTTGGAAACACTTAAATGGGAAGTCCTACCCCACCCGCCATATTCACCAGACATCGCCCCTTCCGATTATCACTTGTTCCGATCGATGTCACGTGGCCTGGCTGAGCAGCACTTTCGTTCTTATGAAGATGCCAAAAAATGGGTTGATTCTTGGATAGCCTCAAAAAACGTGTCGTTTTTCCGACATGGAATTCAAATGCTGCTAGAATGATAGGAGAAAGTAGAGGCTAGCGACGGACAATACTTTCAGTGACGTGTTTATTATGACTTTTTTTAAATAAAGTGTTAATTTTCACAAAAAAACAGCAAGAACTTATTCAAGGTCCTTATATATAAATACAGTAGAGCGTCATTTATCCAAAAATCAATTATCCGAAAGAATTCCAGTCAGAAAATTTAAATTTTTGCCAGTGCTGTGGCGCTGCAATCTTTGGCTATGTCTTGGGCTACTCAAATATTTTACATTTTTGATACTAAATTAACTTCGGAAATATCATTTTTTATTGTTTTTATATTTTCAATATATTTATTTTGTTCATACAAAATAAAAAAATAATTTTTAATGATACAATAGTCTTCGTTAGGCTTAACGTTGACAAAAATTCAACGCAAAGCAACACGCTACAAAGAAAAATTTCAACGTGAGATAGGTTAATATACTTTTTCGTACATAATCGGTTATCCGAAATATCGATTTTCCGAACAACCCCAGTCCCCAATTGATTCAGATAAACGGCGCTCTACTGTAGTAACTAAGAAACATGTCATTAGTCAATATTTTATATAACACTCACCAAATAAACCATCGCTAGTTCATAACCAAACAGAAAAATTCTTTCTACGAATGTTTTCATCTATATGTAATCGTCAATACCTGAGGATGTCTATTACATATAGATGAAAATGTTCGTAGAAAGAATTTTTCTGTTTGGTTATGAACTGGTGATGGTTTATTTGGTGAGTGTTATATAATTAAGTACCCAGTTTTTTGAAATATAGTCAATATTTTAGAAAGTTCTTAAAATTATGATATTTTTAATAACTTAATTTCACAATATATTCAAATTTAAAAAATAACTCACGACGATAACATATCAAGAGGTAGAGTCAACAGAGAACTGACAGATCCAGTAAATAAGCATCGATAAATTCGACCTGAAAGAAACAATAATCATCATCATAAGCCATTCAAAAATATAAATTAATTTATAAACTATTTTATTTATAATTACAGAACAACAATTACACACAGATACCAAAAAAACCAGCAAAAAATGTATACATTTTAAGAAAAACAAATGTTTTCTTCTTTTTTAAGTGGTCATCCTCAGGATAACAAAATAGAAGCAAAAAAAAATCTAGTGCATATTCTGAAAATAGAACAGTAGTAAAAATTTAGAAAATAGAAAGCATCGTGAATTTGCACATGCACATTCACAACATTTTCTATTTTTTAAATTTTTACTAGTGTTCTATTTTTAAAATATGCACTAGATGCTTTTCATTTCTTCTAACCTGAGGATGACTATTTAAAATGAAATAAAACTGTTTGTTTTTCTTAAAATATATATATATATATATATATATATCTTTTGATTGTTTTTTGTATCTGGGAATAATTATTGCTGTTATACCAGTATTGTAGTAGGAAATGTGTAATTATAAAACTTTAAGGCCGAGACTCCACTAGCATAAAAATGGACGTAAAACCCCTCACCGTAAAAGTTTTTAATCGCGTGACCATGATATTTTACACCTAAGCAGGTCATAAAACCAGCGTAAAAGCAGGCTGAGCAGAGTTCAACTTTTAACGCAAATATGGCCGTAAAATAGTTCCATCCACCAATCAGAAGTCACTGGAATCTAGGTCATTGTGACACATTGCAAAAATGACAGAAAACAAGCTTTTGTGTATGTTCTCTCGTGGCTACTCTAGAATAGATCTGGAAAGATTTATCGAAAACATCCAAAAGTATTCATGATCTATGACAAGAGGTATCCCAATTATAATAATGGATGTCTAAAACACACGATATGAATGGTTTGTTTATTTTAAACTTTGTTTATTTTGAAAATAACAACTTTAGATATTTATAAATTTTACAATTCTTATTACTGTACATAGAGTCAAACTTCCATATAACAAAGTCTCAAAATCCAAAAAAAAAATTTAATAAAGGGAAATTTCATTACACAGACATTACACTTTTTGTAAATAAATTATTATTTTACATAATTTACATTAATATAAACATAATATAAAGTAATAACATAATATAAATGTAGTTTTAATTTTATAAAGTTTACATTTAAATGTTGAAATATTTACACTTTGTTTAACTGCTATAAGCCAACCAATGCCTTATGTTATAGGGCTATATATTGGCTATAATATTATAGCCAATATCTAGCCCTATAACATACTGCATTGGTTAGCTTGTAGTTTATAATGTATTTGGTCGTATTGTTGTTGTTTGTTTAGTTTAACTGCATTTTCGTAAAAACAAATTGTAATTTTTTGATTGCACGGAACCATTAAATATGAAATCTCTTTGTAATATGCTTCACACTTATTAAGAAAATTAAAACTGTTTCATCTACATCAGCAATCACCAAACTTTTTCCACAGCAGGCCAGATAACACAAAATGACAAGCGCAGGCTGCATATCCATTTTGTTCAATACACAGAATACACAAAAAATAAAAACAAGCAATATATTTATCTACCAAAAAGTTTACAGAAAAGGCAAGATTGGCAATAAGATACAGTCGACCCCCCTATAACGTGGGTTCCTATAACAAATTCCTATAACGTAGCAAAAAAATTGCGGCAGTATTCATATAAAGGGACTCGTAAAATGTCGTCGCTGACTCGTGTCACTACAAGATTGGTCGAATCTGGACCAATAGTGGATGAGCAGCCGAACTACTTTATGCTGTCCAGCGCCATGCTATGGAAAGTTTAGACAGGTAAATTGAGTTTGCTATTGTCTGTACAGTATTATATATAAATTATATATAAATTAGGTACTGTACATATAATTATATATTAATTATATCTTAATTTATTGTAACTTTATTAAAATTATATATATGCTTTCTGCCGTCTAGCACCACGCTACAGAGAGTTTAGGCGAACTATCGTCTGTACAGTATGTAAATTAGGTACCGTAAGTCTAATACAGTACTGTAATTTTATACATTTCTTGTGAAAGAAACATTTCTTATTCAATGGCGATTAAAATTATTTATATTAATGATGTCTCCAAAGTTCAACGAAGTTTTCGCAGAAAAATAACTTATCAGAAATCGCGCCCGCAGTTTGCTGCACTGTTCCGCAACGAAAACAAGCATAAGCAACGGCGTAGTCGAACAGTGCACACTTGGTAAGTAATCCTACAATTTTTTGTTTATAGCATAGTTTATACGGATTATTCCCAAAAAATTATACGTGTTTTGGAAATGTTAAGTCGAATTAGTCTAGAATTGGTTAATTTTATAGAAGAAAATCTTTCAAACAGCCTTAGTCCATAAACTTCACACGTGTCAGGCTGCGATTTGCTCATGTATTTAAGAATTCCTACAAGGTAAAATTCGAATAACGTGGAACATATCTAAGCATTATAGGGGGTCTACTGTAGTTATATTACATCCAGTGTGCACATATCTGAATCTCACAAACTAAGCACCAAAAGAGGTTAGTGAGATTTAATAAACTGACATTTAGATTTTAAGATATCATCAATATTTGCTTTGGAATTACTGCATCCAACCAAGAGGATTGCTTTCAAATGTTCATCAGTCAACCGCATTCGATGTGCTGACTTTATATACTTCATTTTTGAAAATCTTTGCTCACAGACATAAGTTGTTCCAGACACTGATGCCATACCAGAGGCAAATTTCTTCAACTTTGAAAACTCGTCATCAGGTAAGCAGTGATAAAACTCAAAAAATTTTCCTTTTCTGTGCTTTTCTTTCAACAAGTTATTTGCTTGCAAATCAATGAGCTCCAATTGTAGTTGGACTGGCACGTCATCAAGGTTACAAAAAAAGGGATTCTGGAACAGAAGGATATCACTCTAATTCTGTCGGTATCTGAAAATCTCTCCAAAAATGCTTATTTAAGTCACGAATAATCTTCTTTGAAAACTCGAGGTTGACATCTGCAATTCCAGCATAAAATTTTTTGAAACACTGAAAATGAAAGAAATTTTCTTTTTCCAGTTGTGCTTCAAACAATGATAACTTTCTCCGAAATCCTTTGATGATTCTGTAGAAATCACAGATAAGGTTATCCTTTCCCTGAAGTTTTAAGTTCAATTCATTCATGTGGGAAGTGATGTCAACCAAAATGGCAACTTTGACTGCAAGATAGTATCTGACAGAAGTGAATCAGCTTTATCTTTTTCAGTGAGGAAAATATCTGGTAAAGCTGTGGTAAAATTCTATTTCATTTTTATAAGCTCCTAAGAGAAATCTCTTAGGAGCTTATAAAAATGAAATAGAACTTCACCACAGCTGAGTCACCTCACTGAGTTACAGAATTCACAATCAATTTCTTCAAAAAAAGCCTGAATCTGGCAGTGATTAAGTGCATTACTCTGAATGAAGTTCAATGCAGAAATCACAGGTTTCAGTACACTAGAAATATCTAAGTCTTTCCCACAGAGTGCATGCTGGTGTATAATGCTGCGTATAAACAAAGCTCTCAGGAGTTGAAGATCTTCCAACTTAATCCTGATCTGCCCAACCAGACCCATCTTCACTCCAGCCATGTATTTTCCTCTATCAACTGTAACACATCAAAGCTGATTCTACTAAAGGAAGTGCAGAAAACTATGCAAGACTATAGTCTTGCATAGTTTTCTGCACTTCCTTGAAAATGTCTTCTCCAGTTGTTCCATGCATACTGCAAACAGATGCCAACTCTTCTGTGATCTGAAAGTCCAAATTAATACCATGAATGAACACGAGAATTTGTGATGTACTCAAGAGATCAGTAAACTCATCCAGCACCAAAGAATACCATAAGAAATTCCTAGCTTTCTCACATATCTATTACACTATGTTCTCTCCAAGTTCTGTTCTCCGCATAACTGAACTTGCTGAAAGACTGATACTTCCATAGAAATCAGCTTTCTCAGGACACAAGTCATTTGCTGCTTTCATCATACACTCTTTGACGAAGTCACCGTCAGTAAACAGTTTTCCTTGCTCTGCCACCATATGCACTATTTTGTAACTTGTACAAGTGACAGATTCATTTTCAGCAAATTTTCTCATGAAGAGATTCTTTTGAGATTCCAAACTACATTTCATGAACTCAAATTTCTCAGAATGCAACTTTCCAGAAAACTTCGAATATATTGACAGATTTTTTTTGTTTCATAGTGGTGCCAAATACACTCTTTCAAAACCGCAACACTTTTGTTGTATATCACACAACTAGCTTTTTGGTCATTTGTTTCCACAAAGAAGTATTTTTCTCCCCATTCTTCATTGAAGATGCAGCATTCAGCATCTACTTTTCTTTTCTTAGTAGCCATAATGATGGGTGAAGAAAACAGGATCTGAAAATGAAAAACAATTATTTATTTACTCATTGAATAATCTACTAAAAAATGTTGGAAACCAATAATTTTTCTAAAATTTTTTGACATGTATATAAAAATGACAAACTAAATGTAAATAGTTCAAGACATGACAATTACGTTATTACACTGATTTAAGAGTTTTATCTGATAAGTTATTTAAGTAGTTTTTATAATTATACCAATGTATTTAAAATTTATTGTGCAAGTTAATTAGAAGAGCTTCATAAAAATAATTAAGATCATATTTAATAAAAATATAATAAATCTTAATAGGCAAATACAGGTATACCTCGACTTACGTCGTTCCCGATTATACATCATTTGTCAAAAAAGTATATGGAAAAATAAAAATCAAGTTTAAGTCATTTTATTTGACTTTACGTCTGTCTGCTACAAATATTGAAGTCGTAATATCACTAGAAAAGCATTTAAAGCACATAAAATCATATTAAAATATATACATTTACAAGTATGTACTGTATTTATAGTACATGAATTTGTAAATTTAGATTATTTTTTTCTGTAGTATATTAAAAACTAAACTTTATTTTTTGTAAGCTTAAAATAGATCCTTATTACCCATATATTATTAAAAATGCATTAATAAATAAAATACAGAACCAGGAATGGTAATTTATGGGTTAGCCTAGTGACAAGTAGATTCGGAGGCAAGTAAATTCAACTTACGTCACCTCTCCTGGAACCAATTACCAACATAAGGCAAGGTATACCTGTATAGCACAGTAACAAGAATTTGATACTAATTTAAAATTTTCATTAATTTAATTATGGCATTTTTTGTGTGTGTAATGATTAAAATATAGAGTTTAAATAAATATCAAAGTTTGAAAATATTAGATGCTTACCTCTTATGAACACTTTCAACACTTAAATCTGCAAAATATACGATAAAATTAACCGAAGTCATTCCTTTTTATGTTGGCACTCTTCAAACTGGTTTAAACATGGCAATGCAAGTTAAAACACGATCGCTGCAGCAGGCTCACAATTGCTTTTCTTGGAAACTTTATTGCAGGAACAGTACTTACACAAATGTGCTCTGCTATCCAAAGTTCCAAATGTTGCTGAATTTTTTATTCTCCTAATTTTTTAAAACTTAATTATTGTCAGATGCAAAAATCAAATTGGATAAATTTGGGTATTTTTACTTACACTATGTAAAAAAATTAAAATTTTTATAAAATTAAAATAAAAAAGTTTGTTTATAATCTATGAGAAATTATTTCCATATAAATAATTATATTTTAGCTTATTTGTGGCACAGTGTGGCAGCAGGCTGGATGAACTGACCTTGCAGGCCATAGTTTGGTGGCCCCTGATCTACATCAATGTAAACGCAGGTTCTAGCATGTTTTCCTGTAGGGTTTGCATCATTGGCTAATTTCAAAATTGATTATTATTTGAAATTGAATATTATTACAGTTGATAAACTATTCATATTAATTCCAAACTTTGCTACAATGTCTTTCTTTTTTGAGCCTTTATCAACTTCTCACAACACATTAATTTTTTTTAGCAATGTTTAACACTATATTAACAGTTCTTCAAATTTCAATTGGACAATTTATTAAATAAAATAAAATCTCACTAACCTCAAAAAATAGTCCAGTAGTTGTCAAAATTATCACCTTTCTAATGTTTTCAACATTCATTAATTGTAAATCATTTACCAGTCAACAACTATTTTGATCTATTATTTCCCACCCTTCTTTACAACAGGTAGCTGCATGGGGATAAATTACATCAGTGTTTCTCAACCTTTTTTGTCCCACCAAAGCATCTTTAATTAAAATCTTGATGTCCCCATGACAAAAACATGTGAAGAAAAATAAGAGAAAAATAAAAATTTAACAAAACTAAAGTAAAGTTATAAACTTCAGAGAGTTTAAAAGTGCACCCACAAGCACATGAATTAACTATAACCTTGACATATTCCGTGTTGACATTTGCACAAGCATTGACATTTTTTCTCAAAAAGTCAGAAAAAATATATTGTATATCAAAAAAATATTTTTGACAAATGTGATTTTTTAACAAAAAAACTTTGTAACAAATATTAATTATTTGCACATTGCCCTCCCATAATATTCAAATTGCACCCCACATTGAGAAGCACTGCATTATGTGAAGGTTTTAAAAGCTAATGACCAGTATTTCTCATACCTGGTCTGCAGTTATAAGGGTTTACATATTGATACCTGAAATTTAACCTATATTCAAACTTGACTTAGAGGAAGTAATCCAATTTTAATGATTGATGGTCCTTACAAATGAAAAAAATTTGTTATATAGAAATTTAACTTTATTATTTAGAAGCAATTTCACATATATCTTTAGCTGAAAGAGTAGTGTACAAAGCAAAAGTTGATTATACAAAGAAATTTGCTACATAGAAGTTCATAATATGGAAGTTTGACTGTATTTTATAATTATTAATATATTTTAATTTAATTATTATATTTGATTTTTGTTCACTTTCTGTTTTCTTTTTGTAATTAAAGTATTTATAATTTTAAATACTGTACTTAATTTTGTTGGTTTCCTAAGTGATGTACTGTTCTTAAACTTTTTGTGTAATAACCGATGGTGATCTAAAGTAGATCAAAAATGTTTAATAAACAAGTGTTGTTTCCTATGTTTTGAAATATATTTCTTAAAAATAAAAATAATCTTCCTCTTCTCTAATTTTTCCAATGTAAACTTCCAACAAACAAGAAGGATTGACCTCTACTTTTTCAATTGATAACAGTATAATCATATATAAAATAACACTTTTATCCTTTTCTTAGATATAAAATATTTGTGATTATTTTCATATCGTTTACTGATAACAAATTGTGTTAAATTTTCTGATTGAATAAATAACTCTTAAGTATTTCCAACTGTTTAAATCATTAATCAAATTTATAACTTTTATTTTAAACTAACTTCAAAAACCTTTTTTAACCAATAATTAATAAACACTAATTCTAAGTTTTTAATTTTTCCAGAGATTGAATTATTTCACAATTTTAAAATCATTCAACTTTATTGAATATGTTCTCCAGGTTTAAATTCATTAAGTGACATCATTATCATAAAGTGCAATACAAAATACAGTAGAACCTCGAAAACTCGGCCTAATGTGGACCGAAGGGTGGCCGAGTTTGTGAAAATGCCGGGTTATCGGGAATGGGGTTAAAAAAAATAAGTATGAGTGTTTCCTCAGAAAATACTGTACTGTACTTGTATGTATTGTTTACTTGAGAATATAACAGAGAATAAACTGCCCAAATACCCTTAAACAAAGGAAAACTACGTACTTTATGAAGGCATAGAGCCTTTACTACATGAAAATGAAAATTAATGAATACACTGTGTACAGTAATTTACCTGATAAGACAGACCTCAGAAAAATACTTTATGAGAGCTTTTATACTTTTATAAAGCTGTCTATAATGAAAATTAATTAACTAAGGATTTTTTTGCCCTGTCAGGGTGGTGCCGAGTTATCCGGAGTGCCGGGTTATCGAGAGCCGAGTTTTCGAGGTTCTACTGTATTATGAGCAATTTAAACAAATACCACTTCAGAATTTATTTTAATGTTATAAATGTGTCAGATTGTGATTTTGAAGTAATACCTTTCATGCGTAAGACAATTGTTTTTTTTCTTTGAAATTAATACTTCTCCATTGTTTTTCTTCTTTGAATTTAATACTTCTCCATTGTTTTTCGGTCTTATATATTTCTATTGATTCCAAAGCTCTAAAGTTTTCTAATCCAATGTTTGTTTCCTTAATGATGATGGCAGTCTGTAGACTGGCCTGGATGTCACTGTCTGCAGTATAAATAACCAATGCAAATATTGAGCTTGTTGTAGCTGATATCATAATTATGTTCAGTTAATCTTTTTTGTTAAAAGCATGTGGTGGAACGAAGTACTCCAATTCCCAGGGGACTCTTTGGCCCATTACTGGAATGTGATATACTCTTGGTAAGCAGAGTTTATTGGCTGTATCCTTGCCATTGTGTAGAAAGTTGTATATACTGGGGTTGCATACATATTCATAAAGACAAATGTGTCATTCAACTTTATTTTGATACACATTGATACAATATTTACCATAGTTAAAATTTAAAAACTTTTTTACTTACATGCAGTCAAAGGAACAACTCCTAGCCAGGCAAATGCAACTAAAGTATAATGCAACCAATAACGAATAGCAGTACCTAAACTGCATAATAATCCACTTATAATATCTTTAACTGGAAGGCGTTTTGGCATATCTGGTGAATAAACTGTAAATAAAAAAAAATCTTTAATATAATAGTGCATTAATTACAGATGGGAATATTTTTGTGTGTTTATAAATGTTATAATTATTTATTATTATTTATATTTCATAATTTTAAATATTGCATTCAATTCTGTTGGCTTCCTAGATGACATTCCATTTTAAGTACTTTCTATCATCCCTACAACCATCTAATGCAGCAGAAAATTCTTTATTCAAATAATCACAATAACCAACACTGGGGTAAAGTTACTTACATCCACAAGCTTGTTACTGCTGTGAAACTCAAATAAAAATGAAAAAACAGTTCTTCACAAACACTTTTGAACCATAAATAGTTCTTCAGGTGAATGACAAAATTTCCAATGGAATGCAAGTAAATAAGAACACAATTTGAAATTTGATTCGCATACTTGTTTCTTGATAACATCCTACTGGGCATGTGCACTCCATCAGATAGTGATTGCCAAGATTCACATGTCGTTGTCCATTAACACTTGCCACACTATGGATAGGGTCAATTCTTCCTTGTGGTTGATACATGCTAGATCTGTAGATACAAATGGCCTCCAACTACCTTAGATGCTCAGCTTAGATAACCTTCGCTTGGTTAAAGATTGGCTCTATGTCTGGATCACTGGTGTAAACGGTGAGAGTGGTGGTGGTCCTTGTGTGCTGTATGTCAGCTAGGTGCTCTTTCATTCTAACCCCAAGGAGCGCTTAGTGGAGCCGATGTAGATGAGATCTTTATCACATCTGTGATCCTTAAGTGAAATGCTGTACATCTTCGGGTCAGTTTTCACCAAGTGAATGGACTTGGGCTATGCATTGAGAGTGGTGGAATCTGTTGATAAATTTACGGGTGAGGTTGGGGTACCCATGGTCAGTGGCTATACGATGTGTATGCCTCAGTTCTGCTTGAATAGCTTGCTGAGTGTATGCCCTCCCAATGCATAGTCCAAGTTCACTCACATGGTGACAACTGATCAAAAGATGAAGAAAAGATCCCAGTCACATACAATTGATATCTCAAATCACTATATACCAAGATAGCCAAGAAGCGCTGCATTTGCATCGCATACAGGAGATAACCAACTGTATTTGACATCCTTCGTAACAGAAAGGACGCTCCCAACTGGGACAAATAAAATGCTGTACACTCTACAGAGTGTACAGCATTCCACTCAAGGATCACAGATGTGATAAAGACCTTCTCTACATTGGCTCCACTAAGTGCTCCTTGGGGGTTAGAATGAAATGACACCTAGCTGACATACAGCAAGGACCACCACTGCTCTCACCGTTTTTGCCAGTGATCCAGACATAGAGCCAATCTTTAACCAAGTGAGGGTCATCCTCACCTCACCACACACTGAGCAGCTAAGGTAGTTGGAGGCCATTTGTATTTACAGATCTAGCATGTATCAACCACAAGGAGGAATTGACCCTATCCATAACGTGGCAAGCGCTAATGGACAACAACCTGTAAATCTTGGTAATCGCTACCTGATGGAGTGCACATGCCCAGTAGGACATCATCAAAAAACAAGTATGCGAATCAAATTTCAAATTGTGTTCTTATTTACTTGCATTCCATCAGAAATTTCGCCATTCACCTGAAGAAGAACCGTTTATGGTTCAAAGTGTTTGTGAAGAACTGTTTTTTCATTTTTATTTGAGTTTCACACCAGTAACAAGTTTCTGGATGTAGTTAACTTTATTCAAATGTTTTCAATCATTTGTAGAATTTAGTCAGATGGCAAGTTTATGAAAATTAATTTGAAGACATAGTCTGTCTGAAATTAGTAACCCCATTAATCGCTTCTTGTGTTCCAGAGTACAAACATTTGACGACCTGACCTTTCTTTTTAGGCTGCTCGGTCGTCAGTTTAAAAACATTTCTTTAAAAAACACAAAATATCCAATTAAAGTTACAAAGTTATAACTAATTAATCATTATAGTATAACAAATTAACAAATGTTGACTTAATAATTGGGTGTAATGAAAAACCTAGTTACATTCAGAAATCCTACATACAAAACAGAAATACATTAAGAAGAAATATGTTGAAATTTTAATTATAAAAATAATTATTAACTTAAAAAATTTTTCAATTTATGTCAAGTATAAATAAACTTTATTTTATTTAAGTCAATAAATTAAAACTTAAAAATTTGTTACAAAAACTTATATGTACTACGTAAAAAAATTTCTTTAAAACAACCAGATAAAAGTTACTTCAAATAAATTTACTTTTTAATTTTATTTTTTATTTAATTGTGAAAGTTCCTTATGTAATAAAAATGTAAACAATATAAAGTACTGTTCACCAATTTTTATAGTTGCCGTAGTTAGAGATTAACTTCATACACAATTTTTAAACCTTGCATGTGGAATCTTGTGTTATTTTTGTGTTACTTTTACATGTAAAATAATCCAAAGAGTTTATCTAATGGTGGATAAGAGACTAATCTGATTCTTTCTTTTTTGCTTTCTGAAAAGAAATTGTGTGTGTGATACAACTGATTCATCATGAAATGTCTATCACGTGACAGCAGTTTGTGCCTTTTTGTCAAAATTATGTGAGGAGATTTTTGGTGTTACTTTGAGCGATTGTTTCTGAAATGTACATGTAATTAAGTCTGTACTTCCTAGTTATTGTAATAGTTGGATATTGTGAAATAAACAAAAGATTATATATAGCAGATTTTAATGTAAAGGGAATTACTCCACTTATTGTGAGATAGCTTGTATGTGTCGATTGGGTAAAGACCTTGTATGCATAACAAATTGAATATGGATATGTTGACTGATGAGAGACTTTATGCCCAAAACGTGCAAATGGCATGTATCAACTAAAAGGAGATGGAAATAAAGCCAAGTGTTTATTAAAAATTCAAATTTGAGTTCAAACTCCAACAAATTTATCAAACATGGTTTCAAAGACAACGTTAATTGTTTATGTGAATAATTACTACAAGGTGACAAATAATTAAGGATGCACCGATAAGCAAAATGGCCGATTACCGATTAATCGGCCATGCATTATCGGTCGATACCAATTAATCGGCCGATTAGTGTTAATAATTTATAGCATCAATTAATAGTGTGAGATCCTGGAGTTAATTATACAGTTAATTATAATGTGGAAAAACCCATTTTTCTCCACCTGATATTTCCATCTCCCTCGGGTCAGGTAAACAAGAGACGATCGAATATCCTCGCCAAATCAACAATCTCTTCCTTTGTTTCTAAAATAAATCGCAACACTTAATTGTTGACACATGGAAACTTCGACATTGTTTAAAAAGCTGAAGTGTTTCTGTGTTTAACAGAAACAAAATATATTTCTTTAACCGCTGATATTTGGACAGCAACTACAAACAATTCTCCTTTTTCAAGTGTAACGGTCCACTGATTGAAGGATGATTTTCAGCAGGAAAGAACTGTTTTGCAAATTGTTTCCTTTGAAGGTTCCCACACAGCTACAGGAATTAGTGAACAGTTAAAAATTGTTCTTGAACACTATAAGTTGACAAGTGATAAGATATTCTTAGTACTAAGAGATTATGCGGCAAATCTGGTAGCTGGAAGTAGGAATTGCAACTTAGAAGCATTATCGTGCTTTATACATACGCTGCAGCTGACACTAAACGAATGCATATTTTCTAAACAAGATGTGAAAACTATAATCACAGTTAATAGAAATATTGTCACACATTTTAATCATTCTGCTGTAGCTGTAATCAAATTGGAAGATTTGCAAGAAAAGTTAGGTTTGCAGAAACACAAATTAATTCAAGATGTTCCTACTCGCTGGAATTCTACATACTACATGTTGGAACAGCAAAAGGCCCTTGTCACATATGCTATAGATAATAAAATTCCTACGTTGAGCCCATATCAGTGGTCTCTCGTTGAAAAAATTGTTCTACTTGTAAAACCATTCAAAGAAATTACTGTGGAAAGCCAGCAAACGAGAAGCCACTTCATCTTCAATAATTCCCACAATAGAGACTCTGAAATTATTCTTATCAAAAGCAAAGATCAGTAGTTCCTTTAGTGGCATTAATACCACAACAGAAGAACTAGAAAATCCAATAAAAAAAAATTTTCAGCATATATAGAAAACAAGTCTTTATGCTTGTCATTTTTATTAGATTCAAAATGAAATTTCAAAAAGAGGATATGCTAGAGGAAATCTCAATAAGAATTAAATTCTGAAGCTTCTACTTCTGGAGGTGATCAAGATGGAGGTGAATTTCTAAGTTTTTCTGATTTATTTGATGAATTAGCTTCTGGTAAACGAAAGAATGAAGAATAGCATGTTTTTAAAAAGAAAGAAAAAAAAAAAAAAGAAAGAGACGAACAAACGTTTCGATCAAGAATTAGAAACATATTTACATTTATCCCTAATTTGAGCAAAATAGCTATGAAATATTTAAGTGCCTCAGCATCTTCCATTGAAAGTGAAAAAATTTTCAGCACTGAAGGTAACATTTATGAGCCGGCAAAAAATAGGTTATGCCCTGAAAATGATGAAATTCTCATGTTTTTGCATTGTAAAAACAAACTGTAAAACCCTTAAATTGTAATTTAAGGGTTTTACAGTTTAAATATTAAATTTTTATTTGTTTTATATTTGTTTTGTATTTAAACTTTAAACTTATGAAACAAATAAAAATTTAATTTTTCTTCTTAACCTATTCAATACTTTTTCTTATGTAAAGTTTAAACTTTATATTATACGTTATATAATACAGTACTTATAATATGTATCGATAAAAGGAATAATTTGGTTAGTAAATTCAGTTTGTCATGTAATAAATAATAAATATATAACAGAAATATATTAGTTTTTATTACTAGCATTGTACGTAACATTCTAACAAAAATACCAAAATGTAAAATTGGCCAATTATCGAAACTGATTAATCGGGGAGAATGGCCGATACCGATTAATCGGCTAAGTGGCCGATACGGCCGATTACCGATTACTTACC